AATGCAAATGTTTACTCTATGCCATTATTTATTAGATATAGGTAACTTGCTTTTGATTTTTACAGGGGTTCATGCTGAGAGTTTGCCTTCAGTCTCAAAGGAGATTTTGGGCTTTACTTTTGGGTAATGCTTGGACTCTTAAAAATGTACTTGGCATGAGGTTTTGGGGGCCAGGGGTGGAATGTTACAGTTTAGATATGAAGTGTCTTCCAAAAGTTCATGTGTGAGATGATGAAAGAAGGTTGGGATGAAATGATGATGAGAGTTATAACCTAATCAGTGAATTAATCCCCTAATAAGAATTAACTGGGTGGTAGCTGAAGGCAGGTAGAGTGTGGATGGAGGAGAAAGGTCACTGGTGGCATGCACCTTTGGGAGTTATACTTTGAATGGAGCGCGAGCTCGAGCTCTCGTGCGCTCGCTCGCTTTCTCTCTCTCTCTCTCTCTCTCTCTTTCCTTCCTGATTGCCATCTTCTGAACTGCTTTACTCCTCCACACCCTCTGCCATGATGTTCTGCCTCACCTCCAGATCAGAGCAATGGAGTCAACCATCTATGGACTAACACCTCTGAAACTGTGAGCACCAAATAAACTTTCCCTCCTCTATGTTGTTCTTGTCAGGTCTTTTGGTCATAGCAATGAGAAAGCTGACTAAAACATGGGGATTAAACCCAGGGTGTTCTATCTCTGTTTTGTTTGTTTGTTTTGAGGCTGGTCTTGAACTTGTCTTTCTGCTCAAACTTCCAAGTAGCTGGGATTATTGGTATATACCACTGCATCTGGCTTACTCAATAATTTCAATTATTCAAATTATTTCAATTATTCAAAAATTAAATTACTCAAATCTGTCTTTAGGTTCACTGAGTCTTTTGCTTGGTCAGGCCTTTTTTTGAACCACTTTAGTGAATTTTTCCATTCAGTTATTGTATTCTTCTGCTTCAGAATTTGTTTAGTTCTTTCTTTTTTTTTTTAAGAGAGAGAGAGAGAATTTTTTTTAATATTTATTTTTTAGTTTTCAGTGGACACAACATCTTTGTTTGTATGTGGTGCTGAGGATCAAACCCGGGCCGCATGCATGCCAGGCGAGCGCGCTACTGCTTAAGCCACATCCCCAGCCCTATTTAGTTCTTTCTTATAGTTTCTGTTCCTTTATTGATATTTTGATTTTGCACAGACATTGTTTTCTAATTTTGTTTAGTTATCTGGTTCTCTTTTAGCTCACTAAACATATTGAAGATGGTTATTATGGAGTCTTTGTCAGATAATTCATGGATCTGCATTTCTTTGGACTAGTTTCTGGAAATTTATGTAAGTATGTTATGTACTGGGGATTAAACTCAGGGCCTCACACATAGTAGTCAAGCGCTCTACTATTGAGCTACATCCCCATCCCTGAGATTTATTTTGTTCCTTTTATGGGGCCATGTCTCCCTAGTTTTTTTAAAGCCTACTAATCATTTAAGATTTGGAAATCTGAAAAAATAGTCACTTCTCCCAGTCTTTTTAGGATGGTTTTGCAAAGGGGATATCTTTGCCAATTAACCCAGGTAGAGATTCTGTAGTTCTTTTCCAGGTTACTCAGGGGATGCACCTCTCTGGGATTGTGTGTATAGTTTCCTAAAGAGATTTATTTGCTTGGTTCTTTTCTAGTGCTCATAATCACTTGTTCCTCTGGTATCTTGCTAAGGTTCTACAGACCATAAAAAGCCATGCTGCTGCCAGGTGTGGTGGCATATGCCTATAATCCCAGCAGTTTGGGATTCTGAGGCAGGAGGATTGCAAGATCAAAGCCAGCCTCAGCAATTTAGTGAGGCCCTAAGCAACTCAGTGAGGGCTGGGGATATGGCTTAGTGGTTAAGTTTGAGCAACACTGGGTTCAATCTCTGGATTGAAAAAAAAAAAAAAAAAAAAAAGCAGGGCTACTCACCTTTGTTCTCAGTGACCCCAACCTGGCCTCCAAATCCCTATTCCCATCAGCACTTCAAGTCCAGAAAGACTGAAACCTACCCTTCAGACAAACCCTGGTACCCAAAACAGCATAAACATTGGATGCCTGGTTCCCTCTTCTCCTACTCTGCCAAAGGAAAAGACACCAGACAAGACAGGAATCTGGAAATTTCTCTCAATTACACTGAAGCAGGTTCCTCTCACTGACTTAACTAAATTCATTTTGTTTCTCTGATCTATTTGGTCTCTCTGACCCTGTCTTGAGTTTTGACTTGTTTCCTTTTTCTTTTTGAGTTCTTCTGAGTCATATTTTCCTGTACTTACCTTGGATTCCAAGACCAGTGCACCTGGATTGATGAAAATCTTATGACAAAAGACTAAAACTACTTTCCAAGCATCAGCAACCTTCTTAGTGCCAATAAAGCACCTCATGTCTAATCCTGACCGCTTGATCAAGATTGCACGTTTTGTCAGTTCTACAAACACCCAACCTTTGCCTTTGTTTTCCTCTTCCATAAAGCCTCAAAGTTAGTTCCTTGAAGACATTAGGTAATTAGACCTCTCTGTTCTTCTCAGTGCAGGCACACTAAAGAATAAAGCTTCTTTCTTGTCCTTACCACCACTTGACTCTTCAACTGGTTTTCTGGGATGGGTGGCAGAGCCTGGTCTGTTGCCCTAACTCCAGGGAAAACACCAGAGTGCTGGGAAGTGGTTAGAGTAACAAAGAATCCTTGTCAACCACTTGTCAGGTTCTTCTGAACCCTTTTCTCAACTAAGCCTTGTCCTTTGGGCTTCTGTGTTCATCTTTGAATCCCCAGCCTTTGTGTGTTTGTGTGGTGCTAGGGATTGAACCCAGGGGCACTTAACCACTGAGCTACATCCCCAGATTTTTATTTTATTTTTTAAAAATATTTATTCTTAAGTTTTAGGTGGACACAATATCTTTATTTTACATTTATGTGGTGCTGAGGATCGAACCCAGTGCCTCTTGCATGCTAGGCGAGCACTTTACCACTGAGCCACAACCCTAGCCCTTTATTTTTTATTTTAAGACAGGGTCTCACTAAGTTGCTGAGGCTTGAGTTGAACTCTATCTTCCTGCCTCAGCCTCCTGAGTCTCCTGGATAGCAGGCATGCACCACTGCACATTGCACATTGTGCTACCCCACATTCTGGATTTGTCTGATTGTATTTCCTTTTCCTTTTTCTCTTTTATCACATAAACTCATAATCAGTAGTAAAGGTTTGAGTAGATCAAGGATCAACATTATTTTGAACAGAAGTTATGTAATCTAGTTCAACTTTTATTAATGCTAATAGTCAATAGGTTTTCCATGAGGAGTTAGGTTTCCCTTACAACTAACAAGTAATCTGTGGAGATGCTTAGGTACCCTGCAAATATTCAGTTCCTCAACAACCACTCACCTACAAGTTTGGTTCCCTGGATTTTTGCTCTCAATGCTGGGGATCAAGCCAGTGAATTACACCCTCCAGTCCCCCTATTTTTTCATGCAATATTGCGATTTCCTAATTCGAACTTTTCTTCTACTCTTATTTACTGGAATTATTCTGTAAAAATTAGTTTTCTCACAACAACTAATTGTTATTTGGTTATATTTTTTACAAAATCTAAATGTTGGAATTGTGCATTTTCCATTATTCTGAGGGTCCTGGGAATGCAGAAACAATGCTTTGTTGATTTAAAAAAAAACCTTTTTTTAAGTTATAGATGGACACAATACCTTTATTTTATTTATTTATTTTCATGTGGTGCTGAAGATCAAATCCAGCGCCTTACATATGCTAGGCAAGTATTCTACCACTAGGCTACAACCACAACCCTGTTCTGTTGATCTTTGTATTTCTATTTCTAATGCCTAGTCTTGGTACATAGTATGTGTTTATTAGTTAAACAAATAATAACTAACTCAAAGAACTAGTGATTCTTTCCAATGGGTTTCGGCTTCAGAGACTTGTCAGAGAGGCCCATCTTGTAAAATTAAGTCCACTGTTCAAAGAAATATAAATTAAAACAAACAACAATAATAAAAACTTGCTACCACAAAGACTTCAATTATTTGAATTTCAAAGTGATAAGAATATTTTATCCATATGTGGATTTTCCTAGCAGTGTTTTGCTTTGGGTGGCTACCAATTATTCATATTCTGAACATATCCTTTTAGTTTTCATTTAATTAAATTGTTTTATTTTGGTACTGGGGATTAAACCCAGGGGTGCTTAATCACTGAATCCCATCCCATCCCCTTTTATAATTTTTTATTTTGAGACAGAGTCTAAGTTGCTCAGAGTCTCGCTAATTTGCTAAGGCTGGCTTTGAACTCCTCCAGTCTCAGTCTCAGACTCATGAGCATTTGGGATTACAGGCGAGCGCCACTGTGCCCGGCTATTTTATTTTCAATAATAATAAAAAGCACTAGAACTTGGGAAATAAATGCTCTTTAGTTCAACAAATGTCCTTATCTTTTAAATAATACTCATTAGAAGTGAAAAAACAATACTCATTGAAACATACCAGCTCTATGAGTTATAGTTGATAGGCTTACTGACACCTTGTAAACCAATCCAAAACCATATATATTTATCTATATATGTGCTTGTGTATATATGTATGTGTATATACATATATATGTACACACACGTTCCGGCATCCGTTCGGTCCTGCTGGGGTGTGACAGCAGGCTGGGTCCAAGAAAGGGGCAGCCACTTCCAAGTGTCTGCGCCTGGGACGTCGTTTCCGACAAGTCTGTACCGCTGGGTCTCCCCCGCAAACCCACACCCTCTCACCTCCTTCTCTAACCCCCGCAAGCCCGCGCGCTGTCGCAGTCCCTCCCAATCCCCTCCCCCAAACAGCGTTTTTCCGCCCCGGGCGCCCAGCCACCCGCCCACCAGCTTCCCGTAGGCTGTACTGGCCTCTGGCGCGCCTGCCTTTACCCGATTGGTTACTGCATGTGTCACTCCGGGGCTTGGAGTCCACCATTGGCTGGTTTTCCTCAAGGCCGCGTCACGCCGCCTAGGTGGATTAGGGCCGAGTGCGGGGCGCTAGGCTCCGTAAGGGTGTATGTAGCAGTAGGTTTTCCACCGCGGTTTACAGGGGTCCTAGGATGGCGGCGCTACCGCCCATGCCGGTTGCAGAGGGTGCGATTGTGACCGTAGTACCTGTGTCGGGTGCCGACAGATATGGCGAGTCACCTGAAGTCGAAGGAGAAGGAGTTGGAGTAGCGGGCGAAGAGAAGGACTCATCCACGAGAGGAGCGGAGGCCTTTGGGGACAGCGAGGAGGACGGGGAAGATGTTTTCGAGGTGGAGAAGATCCTGGACATGAAGACCGAGGGGGTATGTGGTAGGCGGCACGTGGAGGGGAAAATAGGCGTGAGGATCTGCACTGGGAGAAGCGTCGTGGCGTGAGGGTTTGGGCGAGGAAGATGGGGAGGGGTCCTGCATGAGGCTCTGGTTGCAGGGAGGACACGAAAGTGGGTCCAGACCTGAAGGGAAGGGTAGTGAGGATCGAGAAGGGAGTCCTGGCTTGAGGTTTGGTTAGGGAGGATGGGACTTGGATGGAGAGGGTGTGTGGAGCCGTTTGGGGAGGACTGGGAGGGATCCTGACCTGGTGGACAGTGCGGGAGAGTAGAAAGGGAGGGTGGGGAGCTCCGGGGCCCGGCAGGGGAGGACTACAGCTGGAAACACCAGCTATGCGGACACAAAACTGGAGGAGAGGAGGAACAAGCCCGTCTGAGCTAAACACAAGCATGAAATATCATGATAGAAAGCCGAATGATATCCCCGGACTCTTCGGGCCACGTTGGTGAAGGATGCTTCAGGAAGTTTTAAGTGTTCTTTTGGCAGAAGAGATAATGCAGTTTGGGATGTGATGGGTAAGGATCACAAGGGTGCAGATGACTGGTAGGACTTAATGTTGTCACCAGTATTCAGGTTCACGGGGCTGCTGCTGTGTGCTACAAAGGAGTGATAGTGAAAAATAATGCTGCTTTTCTTAGCCCATTATACATTCCATCGTCCCCGTGTTTTCTGAAACCAGAATCCATTCTCTGGCTTAAAATCTTAGGGAATTCCCAGTTGTCCTCGAATAAAACCCTAGTGTCACCAAGAGGGTGACATTGCAAACACCTTTTGTGCACTGAAGTTCTCCTAGCCTGGACTGTTATTTTTCATCTCTTGGTGATCCTTCTCATTCTTTCAAAGTTCATTTCTATTTAAAAGCCTTTTTTGACTGGGATTCCTGCAGAGTGAGGTGCTTTCTCATCTCTGCCTTTGTTCTTCCTTGTTTGGACCTCTGTTAAGGCATTTAAGGTATTATCCTTTATATGTTTTGTCTGTCCTGCTCTAGATTTTGGGCTTTTTAAATCTGGGGGATAGCTAGGCACAGTTGTGTTGCATGCCTGTAATCCCAGTGGCTAAGAAGCTGAGGCAGGAAGATCATTAGTTCAAAGCCAGCTTCAGCAACTGAGAAGTGCTAAGCACCTCAGCAGAGACTCTGTCTCTAAATAAAATACCAAATAGGACTGGGGATGTGGCTCAGTGGTTGAATACCCCTGAGTTCAATCTCCGGTACCACCCCCCCCCCAAAAAAAAAAAAAATCTGGGGCATAGCCAGTGTGTAATCCCAGCATCTTAGGAGCCTGAGGCAGGAGGATTGCAAATTCAAAGTCAGCCTCAGCAATTTAGTGAGGCCCTCAGCAACTTAGGGAGACCCTGTTTCAAAATGAAAAATTAAAAGAGTTGGATATGTGGCTCAGTAGTTAAGCTCCCCTGTGTTCAATTCATGGCACATACACACACCCCATAAAGAAATTTGGGGAATATATGATTTTTATTAATCTTTGCTAGTTCAGTGTCTAGCATGTAAGTAACACACAGTATCTGCTTTGTGTGTATCAGATTTTTAAATGAGTGAATGAACCATGGGCTTGGGGGAAGAAACACACTAGACAAAGGAAAGCATAGATAATAAGAAAATAACCTGTTTTAGTAGGTAGGTATGAGATGACCAAACACCTTACAGTCATATTCATCTTCTTGTCTGATATCTCCCATTTGTCATATGTTGCCTTGTGTTATTTTTTTTTTTAATCCATTCAGTCAGCATACATTTTCTATCAACTACTGTGTGCCATGTTGTCCTGATGATATAGATATATTATTTGGAGCATGCACAGAGGCTGACATTGGAAAGTTCTGTCCAGAGAATTGAAATCTAATATTATTAATATTATCATTGGTTGCAGTGAGTAAAGGTAGGATTTTTTTTTTTTTTCTTTTTCTCTTATTTTAGTGCTGGGAATTGAACCCGGGGCCTTGTGCATGGTAAGCCTGTGCTTTACCACTGAGATACTCCCAACCAAGATAGAAATATTTTTATGTATAATTTCCCCCAAACTATTGTGAGCACCTTAAGATGAGAGGAGGAGCCAATTTGAGACCGTTTTGGCTAATATTTGATATTAGGAGGGTAATATTTTCAGAAGTAAGATGACACATAGTTTTTTTTTTTTAAAGAGAGAGAGAGAGAGACAGAGAATTTTTTAATATTTATTTTTCAGTTTTCGGCGGACACTACATCTTTATATTTATGTGGTGCTGAGGATTGAACCCAGCGCCCTGTGCATGCCAGGCGAGCACGTTACCTCTTGAGCCACATCCCCAGCCCAACACATAGTTTTTAATTTTGCCAATGTCAAAGAATTGTAGGCACTGTATTTTAAGTTTCATCTTTTAGTCTAAAGTAGATGAAACAAAGAAATGTAAAGGTGTAAGGTGGTGGAAGAGAGTTAGACTTTTTTTTTTTAAATATTTTTTTAGTTGTCAGTGAACCTTTATTTTATTTATTATATGTGATGCTGAGAATTGAACCCATTGTCTCACACATGCTAGGCAAGTGCTCTACCACTGAGCTAGAACCCCAGTCCCGAGAGAGACTTTAAAATGTAAAGTTGAGTTAAAATTCTAGTTCTTAAGACCTTGGATTTTTGGTGCTCTTGTGAATGAGTGGTGTATAAATTGAAAGGTATTAGTTCAACAGAACAGGAAGGTGGCAGTTTTATCTATTATTGCTAAGTGAGCTGGACCATTGGTCAGCCATCTACCTGTTGACAAACTTAAGGGTCCTGAAAGTGGTTCATTAGGCCTTCTTATAGTCTAGATGTTCGAATTTAATCAGAAACCCAACTGAGTCACTTTTTGCTAATTTATACATTTTATATGTGTATATGTTTGTGTGAGTGAGTCTAAACATGTGCGTGCACACTAGGGATCAAATCTAGGGCTTCACACATTCTAAGCAAGCACTGTACCACTGAACCAGACCCTCTATCCCTATGTGTAATTTTTTTGATTTTTGTGTCTTAGCCTCCCAAGTTACTAGGATTACAGGTGTGTACCACCATGGCCTGTTTATATGTATTATTTTTTTGATTGCTAACTGAATGTTTGAATAATCAATCTGAAAACTGGCCATATTCTCAGGAGGCAGAGGCAGGATGATTGCAAGTGGGAAGGCAGCCTGGGCAATTTAGTGAAACCCTGTCTCATTGGTAGCTCAATGATAAAACACCGCTGGGTACAATCCCCCAGGCCAAAAAGAAAAAAAAAGTTCCAATATGTTTATATGTATACTTCATTGCCACTGTATGTTATTTATAACTTACTTAGAGTAATAGAGTAAACAAAGAATAAAAATTCTAATGTAAGAGCAGGAAAAGATGTCACTAAACATTTTAAATTGAGTTGGCATATTCTGTGAATTTATACACAGGATTTATCTATACAATTAAAATTGTATAGATAATTGTGGTACTGTATAAAGTGATGGAAGCAGATTGGGCACTCAAGGGAAATTAGGGATTGACTGAGCAGAGGGGTTGTAATTCCAGGAGAATGGAATAAGGTAAACTATTTGTCACTTTATTGGCCTGCAGACTTGTTTTATTTGACACACTGTTTTTTGTTGTTTTCTGAGATTGAAATTAGCTGCTAACATTTGCATTTCAGGAATTTTCACATTAAAAAAATTCTGTATGTGAGGCTTTTCTTAAAAATTGCAAATGGATGGGGCTGGAGTTGTGGCTCAGTGGTAGAGCGCTCACCTCGCACGTGAGAGGCCCTGGGTTCAATCCTCAGCACCACATCAAAGAGTAAAATAGAGATATTGTGTTCAGTTACAACTAAAAAATAAATATTTTTTTAAAAAATTGCAAATGGTAACAATCGGACTCTTACCCTCTACTTCATCTTGCTCCCTACAGTTCTACAATGCACTATTACTGCCTTCCAGACTTTCTAATCCCTGCCAATTTCATTCATTTATTTAACTTCTGGAGAACATAGAGAAGCTCTTGGGAAAAGGGAATGGTAAGAGATTGGAACAGTGCCAGACCACATGTAAAGCTTAATATGGACAACATTTTATGGATAAAATGGTTCTTCTTTTTTAAACTTGCCCACACTCTGTGTGCCCACATTTTCTAATAAAAAATTTAAATGAGGGCTGGGGTTGTGGCTCAATGGTAGAGCATTTGCCTCGCTTGTGTGAGGCACTGGGTTCGATCCTCAGCACCTCATAAAAACGAAAATAAAGATATTGTTTCCATCTACAACTAAAACAATATTTTTTTTTAATTTTCTTTTTCTTTTTAGAGAGGATTTTTAAATATTTATTTATTTATTTTTTTAGTTTTCGGGGGACACAACATCTTTGTATGTGGTGCTGAGGATCGAACCCGGGCCACACACATGCCAGGCGAGCGCGCTACCCCTTGAGCCACATCCCCAGCCCCCTAAAACAATATTTTAAAAAAAAAGTTTTAAATGAGAATAAAGCACCTAAAATTTAAAGAATATATGTAATATAATTCAAAAATACCTTGGCTGATTTTTCTCTCAAGGAAATGGCTTGTTGAAATCCTTGTGATGAAAACTGGCTTGGAGGAATGGTATTAACACTGAATTTTGGGCTGGGGTTGTAGCTCAGTGGTAGAGCGCTCATCTGGCGCGTGCAGGGCCCTGGGTTCGATCCTCAGCACCACATTTAAAAAAAAATTAATTAAAGATATTGTCAACTACAACTAAAAAATTAAAAAAACAAACACTGAATTTATATATTTAACCATATCCCTTCCTTTAGTTTATTGTCACCTGTACTTTTTGAGTTTTTAGAAAAATTGAATCTGACATGTTATGACATATGTCATGTTCTAGTTTCAGTTAAATTGAAATCATTTTTGCATAATAAACTGATACTTTTTCTGATATTTGTGGTATTTTTATATTATTTAGTAGATAAGGATTATTTTTTAAAATTTTACAACTAGTTCCAGAAA